GCCATATCATAAGAAGCCATGACTCACTAGAAGAAACATTGATGCTAGAAAAAGTGGAAGGCATAGAAAGAGAAGAAGACTGCACATCAGATGGATAGACTCAATCAGGGAGGCCACAGATCTTAATTTGCAGGACCTAAGTAACGTAGTGGAGGATAGGGAGGCTTGTCGATCTCTCATCCACAGGATCACCATGAGCTGAGGCCAACGCAGTTAACAACAACAACACATGTATATGTGGCAACTAATGGCTATGGTAGCAATGTAGTGGCTTCCATCTCAGGTATGCAGTTCATCTTCTCTGTTTTAAAGTTACATAAGCTATGTGAGGGCTAGCATTCAGCTCCTTGGATAGTTCTTTTAAACTCTGGATGAAAACCTGGAGCAGAATCACTATCCCACTGGTGTGGAAGCCACCAGTAGCCACTGTTTACAAGCCTCTGATCTTTAAAAGCTTTTGCCTCAATAGCAAAATAATCCCATGAATATTTCCTCAGAAGTTCTGCTATATTCAAAAGGCTTACTCCCTCATGAACATGCATAGGAGTGACCACTGTTCATTTTTAATGTGTCACAAGATTGCCTTCTTCTTTTCTGAATGGTTGCCCCCAGATTAATACAGCAAAATACAGCAGTCCAGGATGTACTGCTAAAAGTGCAGCCCAAATGTTTCCACATTCACTTTCCTTTTCTTTTTTTCTAGATGCTAATCTCAAAAAGCTCAGCAGCCTGGACAGGGAAATCAGACAGCTTCCATTGTCTTTCTGCAAACTGCATCACTGTAGCCAGCACATGCTCCTCTGTAGCGGATGCTAGATAATCTGGCACCATCTTTTTTCTTTTTAAAAAAAAAGGGAAGCGGAAAGTAAACTGGGTAATGAGCCAAAAAACCCCGCTCCTGCTAGGCAACTACTGGTCCTTAAGAAGAAGCTTATATTATCAGATGGTGGGGGATAGGAAGGAGTCACTTGGTTTTTAGGCCAGCATCCAAAATGAGTGAAATTAAGTGTGATAGGTTTGCAAGGGTCACTGGCCAGAATGCAGCAGCACTGATGTGGTTGATTTTTAAAAAGTACACACATAACAAAATCACAGATAATTCAACAGGAAAACTGGATGACAAGCAACACAGGATGCCTGCAACTGAAGGAAACTAACAAGCCTACTTTAGCATCCAGGCCAGTAAGAGGGGAATGAGTGTAGGTCCATTCCAAAGTACAGCTCTACTGTGAATGGTCTCATACAAAGAAAAAGAGGGTGGAATTAGGGCCACTGGAAGATGCCTTCTACTGAGCCTGACCACTGATCCATTTAGCCTAGTGAAGCTGACATTGACTGGTAGCAGCTCTCCAGAGTTTCAAACAGAGTTTTTTCCAGTCCTGCCTAGAGATGCTGGGTATTGAACCTGAGACCTCATGCTTGCAAAGCTTGTGCTCTACCACTAAACTATGGTCCCTCGCAATGGTAGGCAAGTAATGATGGAGAACTCCCATCCTCATTTTCTCCAAGGGAGATCCAGGGTCACTGTGAAAGCTGGTTCACATACAATGAACTGTTTGTATGAAATTGAATGGCATAGGCATGTCATCACTGATGAAACCTTACTGACAGAACAAAACTTGCCTTTGAATATTCAACACTGCACCTCAAGATGTGTGAGAATTGTAATTTAGACCATTGATTTAGTGCAATTTTTAAATCTGAAATTTTTAAATAGGAAATCTGGAAGGCCTGAATAAGGCTGTGAATTCACTCCCAGTTACAGTCCAAATGTCAAAGAAGCTATTTGGGGTACTGAACCCTAATTCCAAAGTAGCTTCAGCACCTTAGACAGCTCCTTTAAAGAATGACAGTGGACTGGCCACCTTACTGACAATGGTACCCTAGTGCCCACTAAGCATTGGTAAAGGTTTTGTCCTAAGTCGTTTTATTTTAATTCACTAAAATACACACAAGTTTGAATACTGGAGGAAGCAAACTCAGAGATTCACCACACTGCCAGGAGATGCTGAGCAAATATACCGGTAGGTTTGAAACCCCAGGCAAAACTTGCATGATAGAGACAGTGTGTAAACTTTCTGTGTGCAGAACTATACTACATCTCCACCTCACTCCTCAAATCTGAGCATTTAACTAAAGAAGCCCCCCTTCATGGTCATTTAGTGACCCGTGGAGAGTAGAAGGCATTGAAGAAGCATCTGGCTATGCCCCTATAGTCAGATGCAGAACAATGCCATTATCCACCAAGACCACCAAGACCTCTAAGGATGCTCAGGAGATCTTGGCAGATGGTGTCATTGTTCTTCATCTGGCTATAGGAGCATAGCCAGATGCTTGTCTAATGCTCTCTGCTCTCCATCAGCCACTAAATGACTGTGCAGAAGATGTGGCTCACTAAGGTATCATGTTGGACTTGAGCATCCTTTCTGATTACAAGTACTTTCTGATTACAGGTACTGATTACAGGTACAGGTACAGATGCTGGCTTTCCAGACAATTAAGTTCTGAATTTTCTAACAACAAGGGTCAACTTACTTACATTTATTTTTAACTTGCTTATTGGACTTAAGCTGGAATTTCAACATTCCAGAAATAACTTAATTGAACTGTTAAGTGAGAGTCCTTGCCAAAGAGCCAAGAAGTTTTACACTTCGCAGCTGGTTCTTTACTCAAAGCCCAGCTCTCTTGGATTTCCCCCCCCCAAAAAAATGCTTCTTGCTTTTTTTTTTTTAAGTCCCTCAAAGTTAAAGAATTGCACTGTTTAGATCACAAAATCCAAACTGCCTACAAGAGAAGTTCCAATGGGATGAAATGTGTTAAGGGTTTTTCAGGTTAGCTCTCTCAGTAAATGGTCTGCCTCCATGAGAAATGTGATTTTCTAAAACTCATGCAGCTTTGTCCTTTTCTACCAAATTCAAAATAAGGATATAGGAGGGGAAGGGAATAAAATCAGGGACATTATTTTCCACTTGCATTCTGGTAATGTCTTTAGTGCAGACACTTAACTTAAAATTTAAACGGCAATGTAAAAATACACTAAATAATTAATTTTCCCCCTTTCTAATATAAATGTTAATTGAATTAGATTATTTATCTTAATAATTAGCTATTATTACTCCTTTTCTATTAACTTTCTCATCTCTGCTAACATGCAAAACAGTTTAGCCCCTATGTAAGGGAGAGATATGCAGCTGTTCAGACCTGGTTCTGAATTCACCAGAGCCCCCAAGATGCCTGTTTGGCTGCTGAATGATGTAAATGAAGGTGTAGCTGTGCTAGAACCTTAAAATGGTGCTCTTGCACCAGTCCAGTACTTCTCATTGAGACCCAAGGTTTGGTGACCCACAGGAGCTGAAGGAGTGGCAAGAAGATCGATAGAGAAGGGCCCATTCAGACATCTTCTGGCACAGAGTACAAATACCAGTTGAAAAGGCCAAAGTGCCTGCTGGTGTGCACATGCATGTGTGTATGCACCTGCAAGTCACCTGTTGACTTATGGTGATCCCATGAATTTCCTAGGGTTTTCTTAGGCAAGGAATACTCAGAAGTGCTTTTGCCAGTTCCTTCTTCAGATTTATAGCTTACAGCTTAAATTTAGTGGTGGTCTCCCATCCAAATACTAATCAGAGCTGACCATACTTAAGCTTCCAAGATCAGACAGGATCTGGTACCTTTGGGGTCTCTAGCCCTTATGCCTGGTAGTGCTAAGATGCTAACCAATTAATAAGCCAGTGAAGCAGGAGACCTTGACAGACATTCCTAAGCAAGAGTTTTCCCAGTGCTGCTTTCCATCAGCCACAGAAGGAATTTCACTCTCACTTGTCTCACCATGACAAGTGAGTTATGAGAGGAAGCTAAGCTCATTCATCATTAAGATCATCCTTTCTGCTTCTCAAGAGATCAGGATAGGAAAGCTACTGAATTCTTTGGTCAGTCTCCATCATGATCTGCTCCTCCTTTCGTTTCTGAAGGTAGGTAGAACAGACAGGAGCTGATTCACTCCTAAGATGGCTCTCTTGCTGGCTTGTCAGTTTGGAAGGACCCACAAAAAATATCACCCTGCAACTCTGTGGCAAGTTCATTACAAAAGGCTTTGGTGTCTTTTGTAATGAATTACTTCTTCTTATGTTCTCCAGTTCTTTGGGGAACTCCAGTAAGAGAATGATTGATTTGTTTCAAAGATGATCTTCCTAGCTCTCAGGATAAAATCTGGAAACAATGTAAGGAGTTCAGGGATATTGTTCCCATAGTTTTCATGGCTACATGCTTCTTCCACCATTTAGGTTTTCATGCATAGATTAATCAGAGCTTGAAAAAGTCATTTGCTGAGATTACAGTTTCCACAATCAACCCAGCCAATGTGAGATTCTGCAGTTCCAAAAGCAAATTTTCCAAGTTCTAGTCTAGACCAAGGTTTTCAGAAGAGGTAGAAACTACTGGACCCTGGGACTCTGGTGTCTGCCTAATCAAATACCACTTTGGAATGAAAAAGTCCAGATGGAAGGGTCCCCCCACTGAAAGGCTCTCTTAGCCAAGTTCAGGAGAGATGTGGTGAACCCCACTTGAGGCTGAATGTCTCCACTGTCATGACTGTGAGATTCCTAAAAACATCTGAAAATAGAATATGACATTAGATGGACCCTCCAATTTATCCAGCAAAGTAGATCTTCTCTCATAGAGATCTTTCCTGGAAAATCTATGTGGGTTTTCTCCCCACTTTCCCCCTCTTTCACTCTCCAAATGACATTTTGCACACATATCCTTCTATATCTGTCCTTCTGCAGAAGAAGCATGGTGTCCTAGGATGGACATAGGCAACATCATTGACAGATCACAATTCCCATCATCTCTTGCCATTGGCTACATTGGGTAGAGCTCATGGACAAGCAGACCAATAACATCTGGAGTGCTACAGTTTGCCCACATGGGGCCTAGAGTTAAGACAAAAGACACCACAGACATGATACTAGCTGGATCCTGCTCTTCATCCAGACCTGCTAGGCAGGGCAAGCAAAGCATTATGGGCAATTGCTTCCAGAGGCTCATCAAGATTGAGAGAATGTGATCCAAAAGTAGAACATCCGTTAATCTGAGGGAGGGGAAAATGCTGCTCTGTGGAGGCTGGCCATTTGCTTTGCCTTACTCATTCCTCTTTCTTTCTTTCGTTCTTTTTTTATTCCTGTTTCTTTGCTAGCTGAAAAGAGCCCCTGGCTCCCCGCCCAACACCTGCACTGACACACTGACACACTTTCTATGGTGAATCTCGCCTGCTGACTACAGGCAGAGATTAACAAGGAACTTTTAATGGGCTCTCCCTTTAACCCCTACTCTTCCTATGCCCGGTTTCCAATGAACATTAGGTCATAACTGATGTCCTTTGCCTTAGGAAACTATAAAACCCACATTGACTCTTCACACAGCTTGGGACAAGCAACCAAATGCCCTCCACATCTTTGGGACTTCAACTCCCATAAGCCCCAACCCAGCATGACACATGGTCAAGGATTATGGGAGGACACATCCGATTGCCTACTCCCCCCCTCTTGAGCCTGTGCTCTGGGTCATATGAATGCATACCAGTGGGAGAGAAAACTGGATACATAAGTCATGGAGAATATGCCTCAGTGAATAAATACAGTGTCCATAACGTAACATAACATAAAGGAAAGCAAGAACTAGAAATATGAGATCGAAAGTCCTCCATGGGCAGTGATTTTTGTGAATGAAATGAATACTACATATAGGCTCGTGACATAGCATGAACCATGTCTTGCAAATAATGCCTTAATAAATAATTATGGTGCATGAAGCACTTTACTTTTCTGAGTGACAATGTTGTTTTTGTCAACTAACACAGGAAACAGTAATGCTATTACCTTTTGGAACAAATATGCCTGGATCTGAGTTTGAAGCCTGCAAGTAGGACATGAATAACCCTCCCAACCATATTTCCCAGCATGTAGTATTGAGAGATCTGAGGAAATTTATACCCATGGTGACTAAAGAAATATATATGTCCTATTATTCTCGTTGGTTACATATATATCCCACAATTCTTCCATCCTGCGACTCAAGGTGGCATACATAAGATTCAGAAGTGGTCTCCCTCTCATTGAAGCATTAACCAGACTCACATCTACTTAGCTTCATAACAGTGGCTATATAATCTGTTGACCGCCATGCTTGAAGCCCATTTTGTTTCTCAAAGCACCTTGATGCTTCCAAAAATTCTGTATGAAGCCAACCACCTCCTCATGTTAACATGTCGTTGCTGTCAACTGTCAAGTGATTTCTGACTTATGGTGACCCTAGGGTGAGCCTACCACTGGGTTTTCTTGGCAAGATTTGATCAGAGTGGGTTTGCTTTTGCCTTCCTCTGAAACTGAGGTCACCCAATGGGTTTCCATGGTCTCCAGAGTTATAGTCCAACACCCAAATCACTATACCACACTGGTG